TCAGCATGAAGCAATTCAAAAGTGGATATTTTTAGCTTGTGGTGTTTGCCATGGACTTCGTGCCCAGTATTTTAGCAACTGCATGACCTGGTATTCTCCCACTCCCACACCTTTTTCTCAACTGACCTCTACACAAATTCTACAATAGTTCAATAGTTAATACACTATATATAGGCTTAGTTTTTAGGTTTTTCATGTCCAAGTTCTCTAGTATTAAGTAGGCAGTTAGTTCACAGTGTAAAAGTACTCAATTGTTCACACTGGGTAATTAGTACACCATTGCTTTACGAATTCAGAGTACTATGCTTGTACTTGGATTGATTGCTATTTAATCTTGCCGCTATTTTAATTCAAAAGTTTTTCGTTCAAGTTCTTCTCTAGTTTCAATTCCCGCACTACATTATTTTTCCGTAAGCATTTACCTTCTTTAATTTCATGCACTTATTTACCTTCAAGTTTTAATATTGTTTTTTAGCTTTTAGTTGTTTAATCCATTCCAATTGTTATTGTTTTTGACTTTAAGTTTCACTTATCATCATCACTTGTTAGTATCACTTATATATATATATATATATATATATATATATATATATATATATATATATATATATATATATATATATATATATATATATATATATATATATATATATATATATATATATTGAATTGGTTTTGACCTACTGTACTTGAAAAATATATATATTGCATGCTAGTTTGTGGTACTACCTTGAATCAACACCAATTTATCATACTCATGCTCTACTTTGTATGAATAATAATAATAATAATAATATGAGTTTTATGTCAATTATGTCGGACTAAATTCCTAGAGTTCGAGATGTAAGGACTATCGTTTCGACGGGACTCGGTAAATTAAATTGACATTGAATTTTTATATTAATCTATTTTCCGGTTCTAATTTTTAGTTTCAAAGTAAAAATGATTTGCGCGAAAGTGAAAGCACTCTGGTACAAGTCAATAGCGTGACAGTGCGAGACTGGTACCCGATCGTAAAAATTAGATATTTAATTTCTAAAAACAGCGACAACGTTTAGTAATTAATTAGGACTTATTCTTTTTTAAAAGTTGTTTCAAAATTGTGACATGTGGAGCAACAACAAAGCATTTATGATTTCAAAACATAACACGAGCTATGTGAAAGTGAGTAGTGTTTTTAAATTAATTTTTCCTTCGAAAAATGTTTCTAATTAAAACATACGCCAAAATTTATTGAGTCTCAAAGGTGCGACTAGAAATTACATTATGGTCTCACTTTTATTGATATTTTCTAAAGCAAATTTAGTTCCAACTTTAATTTTTCTTCATAAAATTCCAAAATATATCCGACTAGCCTTAGATTTACATAGAGATTATAGATAGTGGTAGATTGATTATTGATCTCTGTGAGTTTGACAACTTTTATATTACTTTGATACATTTCGTGCACTTGCGGATAAACTACCACACAAAGCACATCATCTCCTTTGCCTTTGAATTTGTTTGAACCACCGTGCTTCTCCCAAGCCTGAGCCCGTAGTTCTTGTATCGAATCTTGAAACCATTTTCTTTCGACAATCCTAATCTCATGCGCCTTAAAGGAACCAACCAAATCTTCTAGTTTTAGGATTTCAAGTTGTTGGATTCTTGAATAGCTACGATAACGTGATCAAAGTGAGAGGTCAACGTACACATTACCTTCTCAACTATCATCTTATTAGTTAGGGTTTCACCACAATCCTTCATGAGATGGACGAGATTCTGCACCTTTGACACATAGCTTGCAATCTTTTCTTCTTGTCTCATCTGCAGCAATTCATACTGCTGTCGCAAATTCTGCAATTCGACAACTTTGACTTTCTAACCTCCTTCATAGTACTTGACAAGAATATCCCATGCCTCATTCGCCAATTCATCACGAGAGATATTGTTGAAATTCTCTGAATCTACCATCGATTGAATGCAATATGCAACCTTACAATCTTTCTTCTTCGACTCCTTGTTCGTGACTCTCTGAGCATCGGTTGCATTCGCATAAAGCTCAGGGATGCCATTAGTAACCACTTCTAGGGTTTCACGAAAGTCAAACAGAGATTGCATTTGTTTCCTCCATCGGATCCAATTCTTGCCGTCAATAATTTGAAGAGAATTTAGGATGCCATTAGCACCATTCATCTTTACAACGATTGATTAACAACCCACGATTCTGAAAACACGATCACTGACGTGTGACTCTTGAAAACACGATTAAGAATCTAATTGAAACTCTAGATACCTATTTATTAGTGTGTGAGGCACTTTTAGTGAGGAGAGAAAGAGAGAATATGAAAACACAGATTGATATTATTGAATGATTGTGTTACAAAACTAAATTATAAAATATCTATTTATATACATTTACCTGACCGAACTATTAAGTAACACATCTTAAACCTTAATTAAGTTTAAATTTATACCACACAACTTGAATTATATTATATGCAGAATAGGATCATGTTTACTTAGAGAAAAAAAAGAATTTATCACAAAATAAATTCTATTTTCAATTTCTATGTAATATCAATTACTAGTTCAATTATATTGCATAATAAATAATATATTATCTTTGATCATGTATTAATTATTAGTTATATGAAAATGGCACTAGTTTTAAAATTAGTTTTCTACTCTTATTATAAGTGTATAAATGATTAAAAAATTTTGAGAAAACATTTTTGTTTGGTGAATAAGATTAAAAAAATTACAATATTATAAATATATTATATTCAGTACTTGAAATATTTCCGCAGCAGTACCTGCGATTTTACCTGCGCTTTATATTGTAAAATATTATTTCCTACGATAAACATAGTAGCAGCAAATTTCGCAGGAATTCTTAAGACTTTAGCTGCGACCTTAAATTTAAAAGTAAAATATAAAATTCCTGCGGATTTAACTGCGATTTCCTTCGCAGGAATTAGTTATCTATTGAGACCACAAAATTCTCTGAAAATATCACAGGAATTGCTGCGAGATTTGCTGCGGAATTTTCTGCAAACTTTTCTGCAACTTTTGCTGCAAATAGTTTAGTTTATTATTAATTTTTACAATTAATAAATAAAATTATAAAACACATTCGAAGAAAATGTTGTTAAGACATTTTTTAATTTTATATTAAAATTTTGTTTTTCTTAAAAAAAATTTATAATATTAATTGAGATTTTTTTATTTTTTTTTAATTAATTTATTTAATACTTTTTTATCGTTGTATTAAAAAGATAATAAAATAAAATAACCTTTTTACTTTTTTAATCCTTCAACTTATAATTGTTGTATTAAAAAGGTATTAAAAAGGTAATAATACTTTTTGAATCCTTCAACTTATAATTTTTTTTAAATTTAAAATTTAAAAAGGTAATAAAATAACCCTTTTACTCAATTGATAATATATATTTTTATATTATATATAATCCTTTTATTTATTCGGGAAACTTTTGAAGTTATAGTAGTAGACATAATGGTTGCTACAAGAAACTTTTGATTTTCTTAGCTCGACATTTCTTCGGGGAAATACCGAGATATTAAATTTGCTGATGATTACGTATCTGCTATGTCACTTACATTGAAAATCCAAGTTAGTCTTCTTGTTCTGTTGTATGGTGGGACTATAAAGGTACCGTGGTTCAATTGTTTGCTAAAATGACTGAACTAAAAGGGCGAATCTTGTTGCATTTTTCTTTGATAGGGGAAAAAAACTCTTCAAGACAAGTATTAATTTGAATATCTTGATTTGTTACTGTTATCTGGTAATATGTAGGAAGGGTGGATTGTGAGTTTTTATTATTAAGAGTTTGTTTATGTTCTTAGGGGGATATATTTGGTTATTAAAGAAGTGGGGTTGAACATTGCCTTATATTTTGCATTGATGGAAGTTGTTATTGTTGAAATTTGGTTCTGATTTCCAATCCTGGTATATTTATTAATCTAATTTTTTTTCCAGCCTGGTCACTTTAACAGTAACAAATCAAGATATTCAAATTGGTACTTGTCTTGAAGAGTTTTTACTTTATATCAGCTTAGCTGTAAATACATATAATTGTTCTACTTTTGCCTTGCATTTTGCAGTAGAAGAATGGAGGAAGCTGTCATTATTGAACACCAACATAACACTCTGACAAAAGTAGCTGCATAGATATATCAGAAGAAGAAGAAGAGAGGACCATAACTAAAGTATGATACAGAATTCATACTCTTTTTATTATTCTAAGCAGATATAATTTATATAAAGAACCTTGTCTTTCTTCTTTCTAGGCATGCAGCACAGAACTCATTAATCTATTTACCATTCATAAAGCAATTACCAATATTATTTTGTTACTAATATTATTTTGATTTTTCACTCTTATTTTTTAGGTTTTGTATTTCTTTAAATTCTTGCAAGATGAAGTCACTTAAAAAGTCCAAGAAGAAGAATTATGAAAAAAGGTTATATATCTACTCAACATGAAGTCGTCCAACCCCAACCTCTTCCTCATCTTATTCAACCCCAACTTACTCAACCTCAACCCACTCAATCTAAACCCCAACCTATTCCTCATCTCATTCAACCTCAACTCACTCAATATCATACTCAACCTCAACCCCAACCTATTCCACATTAAAGTCGGCCTCAATTCACTCAACTCCGACCACAACCACAACCTATTCCACATCTAATTCGACCTCAACTCACTCGACCACCATCTAGATCTATATCCCAATCGCATTATTCTCAACCTCAACATAATCAACCTCAACCTCAAAATCAACCTCGTCCTCAATCCACCCAATCTCACCCTTTACAAACTCAACCCCAACACAATCAACCTCAACCTCAACCTAATCAACCTCGTCCTCAATCCACCCAATCTCACCCTTTACAAACTCAACCCCAACACAATCAACCTCAATCTCGACCCATCCCTTCTCAACCCAATCAACCTCAATCACAACATCGATCTCGACCCATCCCTTCTCAATTTATGGTCGTTGAAGCCCCATCTTCATCTATCCATGCTAGTGGAGACATCGTTGGAACTAGAATCCCAATAGTTCCCGAAGGTGATGGGTGAGTCTCTTACTCGTATATAATAACTAATAAAAGATACTATATTTTATATGTAACATTACTTTCTCTATTTAAGTAATATTTGTTTTTTTAAATGTCTCTTTTTCAGATTTGATCATCATAAATTGGTAGTTTCAGAAATTGCTCACATCATACGTACTCATTTGAATGAGGGAAAACCGTCATGGAAGAAATTATCAAAAGAGCAACGAGATTCTTTCTTTGATCTATTTAAGGTAATTAAATCTAAAGAGGGGGCTTCATGTTAGAAGCATATTGAAATATTGAGTAATTGATTCATGTTTTTTTGATACAGCAAAAGTTTACCTGGCCACCCGAGCACAAGGTTACAGTGCGGCGCAACTTTGAAAAAATAAGTGCAGCTAAGATGTCTCAATTAATGCAAGATGTTCGGAGAGATTTAAAGTATAGGCCGGAATGGATGGGAGAGGAGGTGTGGAAGAAACTAACGGTACATTGGAATTCCTCCAAGTTCAAAAAAGTATCTGCAACAAATAAAAGAAATCGTTGTTCTATGGATGGTGCATCTCTTCACACTAGAGGATCTATTCCTCATCGTTTGCATTGGAAAAGAATGGTATTATAATTTTTCTTTATATTTCATAAATTAGTATATATATATATATAATAAATGACATTATTATTTTGTAATTGATAGAAAAAGGAAAAGGGCGTCGATCCATCATTGACTGAATTTTATTTTCGCACTCATCAAAAAAAGGATCAAAGTTGAGTGGGTGTTCACGTTGAATCTGCATATGTAAGTATTCCGAATCAATTTCTTAAAGAATGATTCTTAGAAAGTGTAAACCATACCTTCATTCTTTTTCTCTATGTTTTGCAATTTACAATCAAATCAAATAAAAATATGTTGGAGAATATTGAAAGAAATGTTTTAGACTTTAGAGATAGAAAAAGAGTGAGAGAATGAATCTTAGAAATGTGTTATGACAGTTGGGAAATTCATTAGATTTAATGTTAGTTTTGTCAATTACATATAATAGAAATATCATATACTATTGACTTAATATATAAATAAATAATTCTATAATATTCATAATTTTTTTTTAAAACAATTGAAACATTTTACTTATTAGTTTCAATGGATTTAAACAAAAAAACAATTAAAAATATTTAATTACTTCTAGAAAAATGGTATTTTCTTTGCTCATTTATTAAATTTAAAATAATTTAATTTGACTCTAACTATTTTAAAATGATATTATTAATTAAAGTATAAGTAGTCAAAATTATTTATATTTAAAATCATCAAACATAAACGGGTGCAACTAGTCCATATATTTGACACAAATAAAAGAAGAAAAAATATGAATTTTTAGTAATAAAAAAGTATATATATAATTGGAAGAAAAAGTTAAAAATAAATAAAAAGAAAAAGTAAAATATTGAAGCCAAAGAAAGAAAGATTTGACTGGAGTTAATAAAGCGATGTCACAGGCGTTTTACATGCAAGAAAATCACAATGATGAAAAATGTGAAACATTGGGAGAAGAATTAGTAATGACAAGTTCCAAGGATGGATAGAAAATAAAAGTGGGTGGCAAGTTTGGCACTATTGAATGGAAGTTTTGAGCGTTTAGTACTATAAATAAGTTAACAATAAGCGTTTCTTTGCCGTCTTACATTAGTTCCATCTCCTTTCATGGATTTTCTCTTGTCTCTTTCTCTTCACTCCAATCTCCTTCATCAAATCTTTCACTTTTTCTAAACTATATATACACTTATATCTCTCATTTCATACACTACTTCAACAACTCTTGATTCCATTCAATTTCTTTAGAAAAAGTCTGTTTGTTGGTTTTGACGTGTTTGCCTGGCTCCCTGCATGCCATATAAGAGGTTTTTCAAAATGGTTGATCCTCCTTTTACTTGGCGTGAAGGGAGTCATGCAGGCTTGTAACTATTTCGACTCTTAACTGCTAACAGACGTGTTTTCTATCATTAATTGTTAATGTTATTATGATTTGCGTTCACATTTTGTATGTGGTCTTATTAGATTACTACTTTAATTTTCGGTTGAATATATATATTTTTTGATTCTTGAAATTGAGACATATCTTATCACATGTAACTTTCAATGCAGGTCATGGTCAAAGTGTTTGGTCGATGCTTCTACACTACTGGGCCTAAGGAGAAGAGAAATTCTATGATGTTCAAGTTGTTTATTTTTGGTGTAATTCATCTTGGTTTGTACACAATGGATTGAGTCTAATTCGATTACACAAAACGTTGTGGACAAAATTATGGGATAAGATAGAGAGATGGTAATTAGTTAATTTATTTGTAAGGCAATATAGTTACTACACACTCTTGGTTATTATTTTGTAAGAAAATGTTTTTGTTTGATAAATTGTTTATCAATTAATTTGTAAGATAATGAGTTTTTACAATTATGTGTTTGACATTTTTTGTGACTAGTTTTATTTTGCAACAAGTATATGATTTATCGATTTTGAAAATTATGTTGTTTTTCTTTTATGATTTAAAGGTTATTGATTTTATTATTTTTTTAAAAATGTTTCAAATGATCGAGTTTAATTTTAATTTCAAATCTATAAAATTAACTCCACCTGATGTTGGGGGTACTTCCGAATTTTACTTACCCTCTATACTTTTACCATTATATCTTTTGTAATTTTTTATGTTTTTAAAAAATTGTGTGTTTTTTGTATTTTTGAAATTTTTCTGAGATTTTATTGGATTTTTGAAAATTTTCAAAAGTTTTTACCGAATTTTTCTGGGGTTCTATGAACCTTTATTGATTTTTTAAAAAATTACCGGAATTTTTAAATATATTATCAAAATTTTCAAAATCCTATAAATTTTTACGGATATTTCAAATATATTACCTAGTTTTTCAAAAAATACGAGCTTTTATCATATTTTTGAAAAAGTCTGTGAGTTTTTTATCGGATTTTTTAAAAAAATTAAATAATCTTTACCGAATTTTAAAAAAAAATTATGACATTTTATCTAATTTTTGAAAATTATATGAGTTTTTACCGGACTTTTGAATAAATTATGAGTGTTTATTGAATATTTTTAAAAAAATATGAGTTTTTATTGGATTTTTCAAAATACACCACTGAATTTTTCAAAAAGATTATGAGAATTTATCTGATTTTTTAAAATACTTTACTGAAAAATTTCAAAAATATGAGTTTTTATCGGATTTTTCGAAATATCTAATATTATATTATATTTCTTGAAAAATCCAATAGTGTTAATCTCAATTTTTTCCTGTAAAAATAAACTATCATTTTTAAAAATAAATTAAAAACTTACAAAATACACCAGATTTTTTGAATTGAACTATCAAATTTTTCGTTCGTTTTTTTTAATTAAATTTTGACAAAATATTTTTACCATTATAAAAATATATAAGAGTGTCATATCAAATTTAGGATTGGAATAAAAAAAACTATTAATGTTAGAATCAAATTTGAATTATAAACAACTCTTATAACCCAGACTTTATACACTATTAGTTTCAAATAAGTAGGTTAGAGACAGAGTCCAACCTCTCTCTAACTTCCAAGCTGATTACAGGAGCGACTATGAAGTGGAAAAAAGTGGTTAGAAGAGGTGATAGAAAGCCTTTCACGCATATATGAGATGCTTATCCTTCGGGTGGAAAACAAGATTTCATAGCTGGAGTAGAAGCATGTTCTATCTTTTTCTCAGAATTTCCAAACAGAGTAAGAGCTGAAGAGTTATTTAGGATTTTTGGGGAGTTTGGAAGTGTGAAGGAAGTGGTGATACCCTATAAGAGAAACAAATTAGGGAAGCGGTTTTGTTTTGTGAGATTCGTGGAGGTGGAAGATGCAAGATTACTAGTTGTGAAGTTGGACAACATTATTATTGATAACACCAAGATACATGGAAACACTCCAAGGTTTGATAGAATGGTGAAATGGGTAGAGAAGGGAGGCAAGAAGGTTAGTATGAGGATTCGTGGAAGAGAACCTATAGAGGAGGCTTTCAAGAGCAGAAGATCAAGCTATTCGGTGTTTAGAAATGGAGGAAGATCTTTTGTGGACGCAGTGAGCAACCAGTCAACGATAAATGGTCCTAAGAAGACATCTGTTCACTTGCATTTTACTTCATCCACGTCCGACTTGGCAAGACACAAGAAATTGTTTATAGGTTTTGTGATTAATCTGGGTATTGTGTACAACATTCAAAATAGTTTTGTGATAGAGGGTTACTTTTCTATCAAGGTGACCCCCTCTTGGTGCTAATTTGTGTTTGCTGGAAGAGAGCGAGGAAGGTGAAATTAGAGATATCATCCGGGAAGTTGAGTCGTGGTGGAGGTAATGGTTTACGGAGATCAGAGAGTGGAGGGAGAGCGACGTGGACAAGAAGAGAGTAACATGGCTCAAATATTATAGCATTCCATGTCAAGCGTGCTCTTTTTCATTCTTTGAATCATTAGCTAAAATTGTGGGAACCTATGTTAGTGCAGATGAAAACACCCTAAAAGGGGAGTGTATGGACATTACAAGGTTCATGGTTCGTACCCGTTGTGCGGTCGTGTTGAACAAAATATTCAATGTTGAGATCGATGGAGTAGTGTTTAGTATTAAGGTGGTGGAGGATTCTCACGGTCCTTTATGTATCTTAAAGAATGAGCCGAAGAAATATGAGGTAGCCTCTTCCTCTGAGTCAGAAAAAACTTGGAGCAGATTTGAGGGGGACGAAGAAGGTGATGCCTGGAAAATTAACAAAGTTCTCAGGTTTGTGATAAGAGGGGAGGAGGACTTTTCTCTCAGGTCAATCTCGACTCAGAGCCGGAGGTAGCTTAAAAAATTGGAACTGAGGTAAGAGAGAGGCAGGCGAATTATCATGATCTTCAGCTTTCTGGTGACTCTAGAGATAAAGTTTTTGGTTTCGATGCTACTATAATGCCGGCCAAGGCTATTTCTGAAGGTAGATCTTCTCCCCATGCAGGACATGATGGGACCATTTCAGGGGCTTTAAGTGGGGAAGAGGCTTTAAGATATGAGCCTATTTTTAAGATAGATGTGGTGGGGTCTAGTTTGAGAAAGAAAAAAACAAAACATAAGAAAGTGAAATTAAGAAATATGTCTAGTTTTAGTGGGCCTTTAGTAAAAGGAATTCTAAGCCCAGTAAGAGTTTGCTGGCTCAGAACCCTATTATTGGCCCTACACTATCTGAGGACCCAATAGAATAATTTTCACAACCTTCTTTTTATGATGTTCTGAAGGTCCGAAAAGCCAGCTTGTCTCATTCTTCGAAATTGAAATCTAGTTTGGTGGATACTGAGGTTTTTTCTGCAGGTACCATATTATGTTGTGATGCAGCCTCACATTCAGATGTGCGGGCTTGTAATTTTAAGTTCTAGGAGAATTCAGAACCGAATGTTGGAGGCAAGGTGTGGAACGTGATTACAAAACTTGGAATGGTTTCGATGGATAGAGAGAAGGATTACTCTAAGAAAATAGTTGTTATGAAGGCTAGGGACAAAGAGTTATTCAATGGAAAGAAGGCGTTGATTAATGGGTCTTAATGACAGTGGGTTCTTTGAGCATTGGATAAGGGGTTAACTACTCCAAGAGGTAGAGAATTAGTAGTATAATCAATTTCGATAATGCTGATATTTTCTTTATCCAAGAATCGAAATTGAAGGAGGTCGACACCAAAATGATTAGTAGATTATGGATGAGTATGGACGTAGAATGGTCTTTCAGC